CCTAGACAACCTATATCAGGTGTAATAACCTGTACATTACATCAAGGTATCAAAAGGACTGTGTATGCAGCTGATAAACCCCAGGAAAGTAACAACTGGAAACTTTCATAATGGTGTGGAACAGGGAACAAGACTGTAAAACAGATGTAGTTTACCTCCTAAAAGTCGCTTGATCTCTGGTTTGGATGTAAGTTGCGAGGCCAACTCATCTTTAGCCGTGAGGATTTCCTGGTCTGCCCCATAACTGAGTAAGTAGGACACTATGTGCTTATGGTTCCTCTTGCATGCCCAGTGCAGACATGTCCTGGTGGGGAAATTGGATAGAGAGATAACAGTTTAATAAACCAAAACAACGCTGATTAAATGACAAAGTTTACAAGAGGATCAATACTGGAGACATTGGGAGAATTACATTTATAGAGCTCCATTTATCATCACATAAGCAAGTTGGAATCTCGAATGAACTGAAGAGCAGATTACATATAATCAAGTGCCCTGCATGTGAAATATTTTATAATGATTTATAATAATATAGTTTGGATCTCACATAAACAAGTCAACTGTATTATGTTGGTAATATGTGATTGAAGTCAATAAAGTTATTTACTAACAATCTGAAATCAGAAGAGGTTGGCAATTTCATGTGCGGGTGAAAGCAATGTGCCAATGTACCTTTCTTTCAAATGTACTTAGTAAGTACATAGTTACTGTTGTTTGAGATTATTAGAATCATTTATAATTCACAGCATTCGAAAACACTAGCTCACAAGGCACGTATTTACTGTTTGAATAAGCAGGATAAAGGTCGCATGTCTGGCTGCCTGACAAGCCTTTCTCTGCCTAATAAGATAACACTGAGCAACGTTAATCCCTGTAACAACACACTTGTCCGCACTGAACACCAGATTCTCATCAAAAAGTATTACAAATGTGTGAATGTGAGTGTTGCTCACACCTTAACTTAACGTATTCAAGAGCACATCTCCCAAACACTCACCAGCCATTTATTTCATTCTGTGAGTTAACATTCACTCCACTCTCCACCAATGTCCGCACTTCGTCGATGTCCCCGATGGCAGACGCCTCTCTCAGTCGCTCCTGTAACTCTTTATCCAACGAAATAGTGGACATTTTGGAGCAGACAACTAACGCTGCGAGATCAAAGGAAACACAAAACCCTGGCGGATTTAGTTGACAAAACTAATTGCCAATGGATTTCCCCACTAATGGCAAAGAGCTCCACTAAAAATAGATGTGCAAGCTAGCACTAGCCACCCGGCTAACCTTACCTACTGGCTAGCTTAACGAGGAGCTAGCAGTCTTTGGTGCTAGCTTGTCACGTCGGATAAATGCAACTTTATGTTAGGTCTTTGGCGTTTACACTGCAGGTCCCGTCCTCTCCATTTATCCCCGTTGTTATTTCACATTAAAACACCATTGCCAACACGCATGCATCCATCAGTGGTGTCAGAGCTCCGTCAGTGGGCTGCAGAAAGCATCACCGCCTCATCGGGGGGCATGTTTAGATGTAACAACTGTAAGCCCAACACTTTAGTTCCGCTCTGAATACTCTCAATTATCTAACACATTTAATGCCACTTAACTTTATGTAAAATAGGTGATAGTATCCAGCCTGAGTTCTCGTCATTGAGTAAATAACTGAGACATCAAAGATGAAATCACTGCTATTAACACACAGGGCTGGGTCTGGGCTGTCTTGTTGTTTCTTTAAAATAAAATGTTAAAAGAAAAATGTTGGAACTTTTTCACTGAAGCAGCTGTCTAATTATGCGTATATCTATGAATGATATGTACCCCACTGCTTTTTAAAACGTAATTATATTTTAATATGATAATTCTATGTTCTATTTATGTGTTATGTGCTGCTATACTTTAAGTTTGTTCTGTTATATCAGAAAGACAAAAGATACATTCAATCGGTATACTAATATCCAAATGTTGCATTATTAGTCCCACAAAAATATGTGGGTTTATTTTGAAAAGAATCCCCGGAAGTACTAATAGTACACAGCGATGCTCTCTTTAAGTACACGCACACGTATTAACCTTTATACAGTCTATGGCAGGGGTCTTCAACTAAAATTCAACGAGGTCCAGTTAGAGAAAATCTCCCCATGCAAAGGTCCGGAACATCAAAATGTCTAACTTGCTTCATGAATTAGTGTGATATATATTGAAGTAGCATGTAGCTTTATCAACGTCTGCATGTAATCAACAACTGACTGCCAATCAAATAAAGAAAGTACAATTCAAAAACAACAATATTTATTGTCAATTAACATTACTTAAATACTGTGGATATGTGTAATGTTCCTCTCGGGCTGCATTTAAAAACAAAATAGAAAATAAATAAAATAGCTTTTGAAAAGTGTGCATCTTAAAAGTGCTTAATTTTAGATAAATAAAATAAAGTGTAGCAGCAGCTTGAGTTTCCCTTTTTCTTTGTTAACCGTTTCACATCATGACTTAACAGTTTCAGCCGATTATAGAACAATATCAGTCTTTACACATCATAACAATTGAACAGTTTTAAAGTTTATCTTTCTTTCCCTTTTATATTGCAGTACCTCACTCACTTTGTTTAAATTCAGTGTGAGAATTGAGCTCGAGCTTGTCCTGCCAGGAGTTTGTAAATCTGGGCTGACATGGAGTCAGGGCTGTATTCTCACACACATGCAGGTGCTCATTGGTTACAGTGATGCAAACACAGGTATGGTGAAAAAAGAGAGAACTATTCGAAGCAGAAAAAAAACAGCGTAATATACCATCTGACAAAGGCCTGTACTATAATGCTTCAATTAACTGTTCTTTATAATATACTCAGATCAATAGGAGACAGAGATGTTAAGTTAAAAATCAAGGGTTTTTATTATTATTTACAGCAGGGGTGGGGAACCTTTTTCCTTTCAATTTTTACAACATCCTCCGAGGGTCGTACAAATTATTGAACTCAACCTCTGCTTAAAAAAACTCAAATCACAGCCCATTCATTTGGCCTTTCTTTCATGCTGTGCAAAGAAAAAGCAACCTCTTAATCCAGATATCTCACCATGACTCGCGCATGCATTCATGTGCACGGTGTGGCATGACCACCAAAACAGAAAGATATGGACATAAGATGTGTGGAATGTATTTAGTATCCTATCCATGTGAACATGATTTAAGTGTGGGGGGGGGGGGGGGGGGGGGGGGGGGGGGGGGACCTCACCTCCTCTAGGGGGGTCCAGGGAAATGCTCCTCCGGGAAGATTATTTTAAAAATATTGTTAAATATTAATTAAATAAGTTAAGAGCATCAATCTGGTACACTTTGAGAGCAACATTAGGAGATCTATGGATACATCTCTCAACACCCATATGAAACAGAACTGTAAGCATATTTTTCTTTTGGATATTTTACAAATCACTCCCCTTTTAAACTCTATTCTTGTTATTTTTAACAACTTTTTTGTTACTGTCATATAGTATTTTATACCTGTTTTTAATTTAGTCTCATTAATAACTATAATGATCATATCAAGGTGTGCCTTAACTTCACTGAGCTGAGGTTATTTGAGCCTCTCAGGAGAGAGCTCTCTTCCACCTGGTTGTAGAAAAGCTCTTTAAATTCGTTAGCATAGCTAGCTAACCAGATGCTAATAACAACAGATCGCCACTGTGCTTACAACTAAAGATACAGCCACGCAAACACTGCGGCATGTGTACGGCTCCTTATGGGTATTGCAATATTTGAAGGGCTGGAGCGGCGTTCTGGTGCTCTCTGTCAGCACTCCTTTCAGACGAGACCTAAGAGGCTTCTCAATACTCAAATGTCCCCTCCTCTCTCCTCGGTTCCCCTCCTCGGTCCTCCGCTCGCATCTCCTGTGGGCGGGTCTAAGTCTCGAGGAGGGGAACCGAGGAGGGGAGTCGAGGAGGGGAAATTTGAGTATTGAGAAGCCTCTTTAAACCCGCCCACAGGAGATGCGAGCGGAGGACCGAGGAGGGGAACCGAGAGAGAGGAGGGGAAGCAGCAGACGTTTAAAGAAATGAGAACTCCTCTCCTCTGAGCGGTCATTTTAAAGAGACGTCCGTTCATTATTATGTGGCAACAGCTGCATCAGCTGTCGAGTGTTTTGTCATAGCGATCTCTGTTAGATCAGCTGAACATTGTTCCCCCACATATTTACTTTGAATTCATTGAGAGTGCGGTATAATGAGACAATAACAGGCTACAGATGCGGGGACACACACACACTATATGTATATAATATATACAATTTAAAGTATGAGAGCACTCTCATAATAACGTAACACAATCAGAGACTGGATATATCCCCCCTCTCTGGTCGCTGAAATGGGGAATTGAAATTACGGGCCAAAAGTTGTATTTACAAGTAGCGTAGGCCTATTAAAAGTAAGCAGAGGACACCAAACCAACTGAGACCCGTCTGTCCGCCGCATTTACGCACTGTACAACACATCTACACACTGTACCACACACCTACACACTGTACCACACACACCTACACACTGTACCACACACACCTACACACTGTACCACACACACTTACAGCTCCTAAAGCATAAGCCGTTGTGTATTTTTTATGTGAAGCAATGGTCTTTTGAAATGTATTGGAATCGTGACCGCCATCTAGTGGCCACACTGTTCAAGCCATTCAATTATTCAAGAAGCATCATAATGGCATAATGGCAAACCACCACTTCCGGTCACACTTTCAAAATATATTTATTGGAACTTGTACTTAGTGACTATCTTTCTTTATGCTTTGGTGACTGTGTCAACCCTGTTATAGGCATGGGAATTAATATAATACATATTTCTAATTAGAGATATATGGTACGTTTACACATATGAAATAGCTGATTGTGAACTATCCATTTAAGTTAAAACTATTGAAAAAGGAGGATATACAATTTTCTCATGAAATATTAACGTTTGTTCCATTAAAACATTAAACATGTACTTCCGGTTCATATACTGCAGGGCTACTGCCGGACTACCGTTAGATGAACCCAGATGAACCATAAACGGGCGGCGTTGTTACAGCGTCTGCCATTTTGATTAGAATTAAGTTAAAGCTACTTCCCGAGATATTGTAGTAGCCTTCTTTAAATCAAGGCTACAGTCTTGTGGGCAAAATGCTTTCCGCAGCCCAGTTACTCGATGAGTTAATGGGCCGAGATAGAAACTTGGCCCCTGACGAGAAGCGATCCAACGTGCGATGGGACGATGAGACCGTAAGTTAGCATATTGGCTAGCGCTAGCCTAGCAAGTTGGATAAGCTAGCAAACCGTTTGTAGTAAAATAAATCCGTTAATCTTATTATATCGGAGTTAGCTTGATTTGGCAAGGTGTGGTTAGTCCATATTTTTACGATAACATACGATTTGATTGCGTTAACTGGCATTTTGAGTGTTGGCCAGGCACTCGTAAAATTAGCAGCAGTTTGCTAATGCTAACTGCATTTCATTGCTTCACAATGCGGCGTCAACCCGTTGTAGATAACGTGATTGTAACTACTGTTTTGCTGTTGCCACCTTTAGCTCTGAGTTAGTTATTGTTTTACTCCTTATTATCGATATGCCCTGCTTTAGTCAGTGGATCTTACTGGTAATTTGAGACATAGTAAGAACGTATTAAATCCACGTAATGACAGCCTTGCAGGGCTAATTTCTTCCTTGTTAGCATAAGTACAACGTCATGACCTGATCAGATTTTACTCTAACGTAAACGAGATTTTAAGAATAATTGTGTATGTAATAACAAAAATGTGTTTCTCCTTCAAGAAGGTATGCAGATACTACCTATGCGGCTTCTGCCCGGCTGAGCTATTCACCAACACCCGCTCTGACCTGGGTAAGTTAACGTTGTTACATGTATCCATTATATATGTGTGTGTTGTAATGTAGCAATAGGAACATATTGGAAGATAACACTTTGCTATTTTTTTTTTCAGGCCCTTGTGAAAAAATCCACGATGAAAATCTTAGAATCACGTACGTTTTGATCATGCTTCTCTCAACACAAGTGCTGTGTGTCTTTTTATTTCCTTTTAATAATCTACTTATATCACACTGTGTTCAGGTATGAGAAAAGCTCTAGGTTCATGAAGGAGGGCTATGAGCGGGACTTCCTACGCTATCTGCAGTCCCTCTTGGCAGAGGTGGAACGCCGGATTCGTAGAGGGCACGCCCGCCTTGCCCTTTCACAGGCTCAGCAGAATGCAGGGGTGTGTGTACATTTGTTTTTGCATATTATGTAACCCATGCTTATCACTTTATTGTGTCGTTGTGGCCCCGGTCTCATAAACATAGGCACATCATGTTATGCACATTGTACCTAGTACAGCTGTCTGTCATCTTGCAGTGCAGTGGTTATATCGGATGTGTTTTTTAACTTGAGATACTTGTATTCATCTCTTCAGGGTCCTGGTCCAACAGGAAAGAATGACGAGAAGGGTCAGGTTCTTACAGAAAAAATTGAAGACCTAGTTTTGCAGGTTTGTAACAAATACGTAGAAATACCTATATTTGTTTAGTAAATATTAATCATAGATAGTAGTTTGAAAATGTAAATAGGATGCACTTAATTATGTCACATATCACCTTAAACAAACTGTTTTTCTTTGGCGCAGATTGAGGAGCTGGGGTCGGAGGGCAGAGTGGAGGAGGCCCAGGGAATGATGAAGCTGGTGGAGCAGCTAAAGGACGAGAGGGAGCTGATCACCTCCACCCCCTCGGTGAGTCAGCAAAAGCAAATCGGCCCACAGATAGTGGGCACTGGTCATGTAATGATGTCTGTTGGCAAACATCTTTCTTTCTTATATAGGTGATCAAATCTGTGCAAAATAAGACGAGCAGTTTTGATTCTAGACCTATCACAGTCCATATAACTTAATGTTTGTATTTTTTTATCCAGACCATCGAGAGCTTTGCAGCCCAAGAGAAACAGATGGAGGTGTGTGAGGTGTGTGGGGCCTTCCTCATTGTGGGGGACGCACAGTCCAGAGTAGACGACCACTTGATGGGCAAGCAACACATGGGCTACGCCAAGATCAAATCCACTGTGGAAGAGCTCAAGGTAACAGGATAACATGTCATAAGCAATACAAACATAATGTAATGCAGCACGCACGATGTGCAGTACACATGTTTGGGTCCATGTTATTACAACACGAAGTGGTCAGTTTGAAAATGATATAAAATCCAAGTGAATGATGTCAAATACATGATGCTTTGATTGTTCTCTCTCAGGAGAAACTTCGCCGTCGCTCAGAGGAACCCCAAGATGAAAACCCAGCGCTAAAGAAGGACAGAGAAGACCGCGAGCATGAGAGGGAGGAAAGGGAGAAAAAGCGCAAAGAGGAGGAAGAGAAGGAAAAAGAGCGAGAGAAAGCGTGACAAGGAGAAGGAAAAAGAGAAGGAGCGCGAGAAGGAGCGAGACAAGGAGCGGGACAAGGAGCGGGACAGAGATAGAGACAGGACAGAGAGAGAGGGACCGGAGGACACGCCGAAGCAACTCCAACAGTCGCAACTCCAGCCGAGCATCGGACAGGAAGCGGAGCAGGTCCCGAGATCGCCGGCGCTCCAGGAGCAGAGACAAGGAGAGGGAGAGGGAACGCAAGCGCAGCAGGTATGGCTGACTATCACTTGACTAATAGTAACGCCTCTCCTATTTTATATCTACAATTTTAAATGTAAATTGTCATATAAAGGCATCTTTTTCACCAGTAGTGAGGTGGAAAAAAAAAAAGGTTCCTATGTATTAATGAGATGCCTCTACTATGAAACATATTATAAACTGATATTTGCAATCATTGACCATGGACAACTTTGTGTGCCATTTTGATGAGACATTCTATCACCTGTTGCCTTAATAACCTATTCCTCTGCCTCTTCTTTTAGGAGCCGGGCAGGGAGAGGAAACGCAGTCGTGAGCGCTCCGACAGAAAGCGTCGCTCCCGTAGTCGTGACAGGAAGAAGTCACGCAGCGCAGAGCGCAAATCTCACCGCCATCGCAGCCGCAGCAAGGACAAGGACAGGGAGGAGAAGAAAGACAGGGACAAAGAGCGGTCATCGAAAGACAAAGGCGAGGACGTGTTTTTTATTTGACTACATGCTACGTTGCCCTCTTAGTCCCACTGTAGGGTAGGGATGGGCATCGTTAAGGTTTTAACCTGTTAAGCCCGAGAGACCCCGGTTCCGGGGGCCTCTTGCAATATCTTACAGAAAACAGTGTCTGAGGGCATGTTCATTTAATAAACTATGAATGTTTTATATCCATGTAACGGAAAGAAACTCATCTAACTGATCATTTACATTTTTTCAAAAAAAACCCCACAATGCTAACGCTGAGTCTCTGAATTACAACGAGCGAAAAATGCTAACAGATGACTGCACCGAAATTCACTCACAAAACCTTATTATTTATCTTTGCTGCACATCTCAACACATCGTGAGGGGACACAGAATCGATGGTTATCCTCATTATCACTCAATCATACGAATTCTCAGAGATAATAACAAGAACACGCATCAAAACATATGGAGCTAGTAGTTAGCCAAAAACGGCAAAATGGCTCACCTGTGTGGTAGTCTGGTCAAAAGTGGTCTTCAATGGCATTAAAATGATAAAAACGATGCTGAAGTTAATCCATAGGTTAATCCAATGTGTCTGTGTCACTTTGAATGATTTCTGATAATCTTTTTGAGATGTCAGACCTAGAGACAGCTTCACTCTGGAGCAAAACTGTGCGCACGAAGCCCCCACCTTTTCGTTTTACCATGTGTGTGGGGAGATCCCCCTTCGATTCTATTGGCTCTAACGGTCAGAAAGAGATGTCAAAATCGAAGAAGGGGGGCCAGAGATAAGGAAAATCCACCCAAATGGCCCCAGAAGAGGGTTTTTTTTGCTAAATCTGTCTAAAAAGGTCAAATATCACTTGTTTTGCATCAATCTTGATACAGGGTACTTATTATATGTTGTACTTTGGATTCCTAAAGCTTTTAGTCTACCATCCCATCATCCAAGGTTAGTTTTCACTATAAGTACAAAATATTTTTTGGACGGACACTATCATTTACAGTTTTTTAGCATGTTTTCTACATCCAACTCACAGGTTTATCATACTTTGAGAAAAAAGATTATTAATTTAACCCTTTTTAGAAGGGAAGATATGGTCATTTGTTCTGGGAATGTCATTTGAGACCTGAAAAACAGGCTCAGGGCTTAACAGGTTAACGGCACTACTACTTTTATGGATACCGCTTATCGATCCGGCCTTTAAACGGTACTTTTATCGGTTCTTTTGGAGAAAAAAACAAAATTGTGAACAAAATTAACATGATATATTTCACATCAAAAGAAACAACAATGTTTTAACAAATCGTATTAAATAATCTGATGACAGAATGTAAACAGAATAGCTTAAACTTTAACAAAATAAATAACTCAGTTTCCTCTAATCATTAACCCATGTTTGTATAATTGTGTTAACTCCGTGTGTTGCTGCTAGCATACATAACACCTGACGTGGAAACGTTACTCGTGGATGGGGCTACAGAGCTACTAGAAAGACAGTCGAACCCGGTGCATTCCTCCGTCTGGATGTGGAGCATTTTGCTAAATGTTTAGACAAATTGCTCATGTTACCGCCCTTACATGCTAAACTCTTATTCCACTTTTGGCAACGAGCATTTTCCACATCGAGACGGGTAAAGTTTAACCACACCTCGGAGCGCTTCTCTCCGCCATCTCCTCCGTGTGTGTGTGTTGCTGCATGTAGCAGAGCGTGTGTGTAAACTGCCCCGCCCCCTCGCACACAGACGGGGGAGAAAGATCTCTCGCCTGGATTGGAAAGATCGAAAATACTCAAAATAATCGCATAAGATGCATTTTGCAGTATTTTTGCGTATTAGAAACGGAGTTGGCGACACTAACTGCAATATGATGTTTGTGTAGCAATAATTCATATGACATATTTTTAAATGTCTCCAGTACCGATAAAAAGACTGATAACGTCGGAGCTTAACGGTACCACAGTCTTTAATAATTCAGCCCCGGGGCTCGGTACCCATCCTTACTGTAGGGTGTTCGGTCTCAGTGTGCAGATTTCTGATAGACCTGTACAATGTTTTCTCAGACCGTAAGGTGACGGAGGAGAGGAGCAGCTCTAAGAAAGAGAAGCACTCTGACGGCAATGCAGCTGCCATTAAGGCTTCGTCCGAACCAGAACCGATGGAGAAAAAGGCGGCGGCCCCCGCCCCCCCTCAGATTAACGGCCAGCAAGAGCTCCTCCATTCTGAAGGTGACACTCAGTCCAATTAAAACTGATCTGATAGGACCTCAGATCAGGCTCAGGTAAGTGCGTCCTCCTCCTCGCTCCCCCCTGGCTCTAAATCCCTCCTCCACCTTCCCACCTGTCCCATCTCCCCTACCCTACCTTTCCCACCCTGTTTACGTTCAGTTCAATTCCTATGATTTTGTCTTATGTACATATATCCTTATCCTGTTTTTGAATTGTGCATCATAAGTATGCACTGAAGATGAAGAACTAGGCCCGATGAATGAGAAGAAAGTAACAGAAAACATTCACACAAAGCCCAGAGGGAAAGGCCAGTGTAGCCCTGAGCAAACATGCCCGGAGGTACCCCTTGTTTGTATATCGGTTTTTGATCCTTATAGATGTTTATTTGTCTCTGTGGACAAACGGCAGAATCACTATTAACCAGTCAAATCCAATGTTCCTGCCTGTATTTACCTGTTTTGTTTAATTTTTTACTTTTCAGTAGAGAAATGTAGTCATTTTGAAGAGAAATTCAGAAATAAGTAAACACATACTTTCAGCTATAGCCAGTATTATGTTAAAACACAAGCCATTTATTTTGCCGTAGTCATACCTCAAATGCCATGGATCTGTTGTCCAGCTTACTGTGCCTGATAATGCCATGCAGTGTGTGTTTGGGGGGTGTTATAGCACCGGGGGCCTTACTTAACTTACTAACTGGAGGGTAGGGTTTATCAAATGAATTGCAGCTGACTTCCATACCTCACACAGCGTTGGTGTTGTGAGCGAGACCACATGAGAAAAGGGCAAATTAAAAATCATGGATACTCTCTGACTGTCAAACTGTGCAGGTACTCACCCCAGGTACTCCTTTCTCTACCCACATCCATTTCTGAATGCTGTTGCCTGTCAGAAAAAAAACAATTCTGTACTTCTCCAGAACATGAACTTGAAAGCTTGAATGTGTATATAAGTTTTATTGTGTTTCTTTGCTACCTTTCAAATATGTTTGGTGAAAAGGGCTCTATATAGACATTTCAGAGGGACACTTTTTTAATGCTGAGATGCACTCACAGCCTGCTTGATATACCTATGCCAACTGCTAAAATTGTCACTTTGATGTCCCTGTGATGTTCAGGACTACTAAGCTTTTCTTAGGATATATTTTTGTTGTTGTTAAGATGTGTTTGTCAACTTGCATTGGCGTTAGAAATATCACACAGGTCTGTCTCTGTTTTTAAAACATTGGGGTATAAGGTGCGATCAAATGTTTTATTTTTTAGATTAAGTTATTTTAAGTGCAAACGTATAATCCTAACAATACTTTCAAAAAAACAATATTCTGGCAGCAATTCTACTGTTGTGATAGTAATAGTGCATTCTTAGCAGTGTCCCTTTTCATGATCTACACTCCTCTGTGGCTAAGTTGAGGGATATGTACCTCTGTCTGTAGATAGTGTTGTTGCTTAAGTGGCAGCAGTTGTTGCTACAAGCCCTTGTTGTGGGACCTTTACTGACATTGCACTTTGTGGACATTTTTGCTTCTCAACAGGGGACTCTGGGACTGGGATATTGTTGGAGGAAGAAGTGGAAGAGCGCACGCATCCTTTCCCTGAACCTGACACCTCGCTGCTTAAAACAAGGTGAACCACAAATGTGTAGTGGCTTATTTAAAATCACGAACGTACATGTGTAAATGAGAGGGGGGGAATTAATTTTCATGTTCCATCTGTCTATCTTTTGGCCGGATGAGGGTAGTCGGGTTCATCTGATGTATTTCTTGGTCTAGATGTCAGGCAGGCATCTTTCTGAATACCAAACTTAGAGCAGTTCGTTATGGGTTTTTGTGTTCCTATTTTAAAAGCCTTTACACATCATCCTTGTTTCTTGGCATTTAGTGAAATTGAAATAAATAAAAATTGCTTGTGGTTTGTTTTGGTTTGTCAGGTTCCACTTCAATCCCTGAACTTTTTATAGTCAGTTAAAAGCGTATGTACAATGTTAGTCCTATGACAGGGCGTTTCTTTTTTCTCTTCCACTCGGAGCTCACGTTGATTGCTCTTGTCCCCTTACTGTAAAAAAGGATTTTTGATCAAACATTCGAGGACTGAAGATTTGTTTAATTTTGCTCTGCTTTTAATGTCCATGTTGTCTCGGTGAATAAAAAGTAAAAACTTGTCAATGTTGTTTGTTTTTATTTAACGCCATTAGGACTGTTCACATGTTGTCCTAGCAAAAGCAGTTTAGCGCAGCGAATGGGAAATGGGGTTTAATAGTCTTTTTATCTAAGGAAAGATCCTAAACTATCCTTAAAATGTTTTGCAGCCAAGGCAGCTGTTCCAATTTCCGTAACTCGAAGGAAGCCGCTTTGATGGTTCTTTTCTTATCTCCTTTAGCATCGGGAACACTGGAGCATATTTTACAAAAGGAAAGGAGATAATTACACACAATTCTTTGTGGCGGCAACATTTAATGTTAAAATTAATTACTTGGCTAATTGTATTTATTTAT